CTGTTCTATCAACATGGTTCCTTCTTCTAAAGTAGAAATATAATTATGATCACTGATATGAGTATATATACCCAAATAATACAAATTAGAAATATCTTTTGACTTACGCATATTCTTTAATAATTGTACAAAAAATGTGGATTTATAAAAAAGAACACTTATAAATCCATAAAATTGTCAAAAGTGTAAGGGTTGGTCTAGAAAGAAATGTTGAGTTGGAGGAAAGTAGGCATTCTCACTCAACTCTTAAAAGTATAAAGGTTATAACCAGTTTGGAAAATAATTTGACTATGTCTAATATGTTTCTATATTCTGCAAAATCAAGAATCTACCTATATCTTAGTGAATTAATATGGGAGTGTCCAAAGACTTATGTGTAAGTGAAAAAAAAACATTTTCAGAATGGGTATTAATTTTCTATAGCTAAGTATTGTGGTGTATTTCCATAATTGCAGTCACTCAGAAGGCAAGTAGAGGGAAGACAGAGTTTCAAGGGCAAACTTGGCAAAAGTTTAGTGAAAGATGACATCTCCACAAATAAGCAGTACATGAAGGTTGATATTTGTAATTCCAGCTATGCAGGAGGCACAGGTAGGAGGACCACAGTCTGAGGCCAGACCTGGAGCAAAAAGTGTGAAGCACTAAGTGAAAAATAATTAAAGCAAAAAGGCTAGGAACAAGGCTTACATGATAGATCACTTGCTTAGCAAACAAATCTTTGAGTTCCAACACAAGTAACACAAAAAAGACATTATGCTTTTAAAGTATTAAATTGAAAATATCTTTATAATTATACTATGTATTTGTCAAGAGTACATGAATATGTGTTACCAATGGAGCTTCCACAAGAATGGCAGATCATACCTACACTTAACTCTGGTAAAGGGGAGAAAGTGTTAGGATCAGCCTCATGCTCCTAACTGACAGCCTGTACCTGTAGACTGAGCCACTGTACTTGCATTATCTTGCCTGAAAGAGATGGCTTCCATCTCCACTACCCCAACCTCAGCCAGTAGAACAGGATGCTAACATTACCATTAGGAAGAAGGGTAGGAAAGTGAGCATAAGGCATTGACTTAGAACTTCATGCTGTGCCTTCCACACTGAGAACTAGCATCAGGTAGCAAACAAAAGGCTAAATACCCACTCCAGAGCCCAAAGTCAAAACCTTGAGACTAGCCCTGGCATCAAGTGTACACCTACACATCAGTAGGACAGACCCAGACTTGGCTGACATCATTGCCAGCATAGAATCAGCTAGAGGCACACCTCACCCCAACACTGCCTGTACAATGAGACTCAGTTGTGATCCAGCTCACCATCAGACATTTTAGCAAAGGCACTGTCTTCAACACCCCTAACCTAGGCAGCACAGTTATCCCCAGACTTGTGTTGTAGCCAGAGGCTATAGACCTGCCCTGGTACCAAGAAGAGACCTGTGCTCAGTATGACAGATATGTGTTTTGTCCTATCTCAGTATCAGCTAGGAAATGGATTTGAGTTCAACTGTATAGTTTAATTTAAGACCTAATACTAATTCCTCTTACATTTCTCCAAAAGTAGGAATTCTATAAAACACATCTTATGAATCAGAATTGCCCTGGTACCAAAACTCCACAATGACACAACAACAAAAAAAGAAAGTACTGGCCAATATCCTTAGTCAACATAGTTGCAAAAATCCTCAAGGAAATCTGGCAGAGCCAATCCAACATAGTGTTAAAACAATTAATGATTACAATGAAATCCTAAGTATGCAAGCTTGGTTCAACAAATACAACTCAGTAAACATGACACGCCTTTCAACAGAATGAAGTACAAAAAACCATTCTCAAAAGATGCATAAAATGCATTCCATAAAATTCACTGTCCTTTCTTGAAAAAGAAAGAAAACCTACCAAATTAGGTATAGAGGAATATACTTCAATATAATAAAGGTCTATTGTACTGAATAGGAAAAAAACTGGAAATTCCCTCTCTAAGATAAGGAACAAGAGAAAGATGCCCTCCTTCACCACTGTCATTAAAAGAAGTTCTAGAAGTCCTAGCCAAAGAAATTAGGGCAGACAAAGAAGTAAAGTGCATCCAAACTGAAGAACTAGAGGTCATGCTTTTGCTGTTTGTACATCACTACCAAGCTCATTAAAGCAGCAGTATAAAAGTCAACATATAAGTCAGTAAATTTGCTACATGTCAATAACAAGTCATCTGAAATAGAAATCAAAAAGGTATTCCATTTACAATAGCAACAAAAAATATCTAGGAAGAACTTTAACTGAAAAATAAAATAAATACCAAAAATAAATTTAGCCAACAAAGTGAAAAATCTCTACAATGAGACTTATAAATCCTCAATGAAAGAAATTAATCTGTGAAAAAAAATGGAAACAGCCACAGTTACAGATGTACACCTGTAATCTCAACATTGTGGATTTTGAGGCAGTAGGATCAGGAGTTCCAGGCTATCCGTGGCTACTTGGCAAGCTTGAGGCAAGCTTTAAGTTTGGAGACCCTGTCTTGACAACAACAGTTGTTATTGCATGAAGCCCTTAGTTCAAATCCAAGTAACACCAAATTTTTAATTTAAATTTCTGCTTTGAGCTACAACTCACCATGAATTTTTTTCATGTACTTTGTTGTGTGTGTGTATGTAAAAGAAAAATTTCAATATGTCACTGCTTGTGATTGCAACCCAGATGGTGTTTTAAAAGACATTCTGAGAAGTCCCTAATTCTGTGCATTATTCTTATTTTTAATTGCAATGAAGTTTCTGAATCACTGTTGTATAAAATATAAAATTCTATGACTCATTGATTTAGCACAGAATAAATTCATATTCCTAGTCTCGCTTTTTATATACTATTGTATAAATGTAAAATTTCAAAAATAATTTATGAGTCCTTTAAATAATAAAACAGAAGCTAACTTTAAATAGACTGAACTATTTTATCAAATGCGAAATGACAGCAAATTGTCTTGTGGTTTTCATGTATCGTTTGAATGATTACCAAAAACCCACCATTTATTTCAGAAGTGAGATATCATGTTATGTTTTTAAACTCATACATTGTAGATGTTTACTTTTATCTATTATAAAAACTATAACAAAGGACAAAAGTTCATTTGTGGAACAGAAAATATAATTTAAATTTAAACATTTTTATAGTCATGCACCAGTTAAAACACAATATTAACATCCTACTCTTTTCCACATATGCTTTCAAGACAATTAAAATATTTTGTTACACCTACATTATGAATTAACAAGTAGCTAACAATTAGGTACGCGGTGTGGTCACCTTAAACAAAAAATCAACTGTACAAACTGTTTAATAATGCTTATCCCAGATGAAAGCATACATATTCTTTTATCATGCCAATGAATTATTTTTGATCATGTTCATTTGGCGCTAGAGATGATTTTATTACTTCTTGGTATAATATGGAAAAAGTCAGAATTTTAAACAAAAAGTAACTGTTTTAAAATTAAAATAACTGTTATTTTGTTGTTGGTACTTGGGTTTGAAGGCAGATTTTGACTCTTGCTAGGAAGGCTCTCTACTACTTGGGCCATGCCCCCATCCCTTTTCTCCTTAGTTTTTGGACAAATTATTGTTTTTTTAACCAAGCTGGTCTGGACAATGATCCTCCTATTTATGCTTCCCATTAGCTTGGATTATAGCTATCTGCACCATGCCCCGTTTATTGATTGAGTCAGGGGTCTCACTACTTTTGACTTGGGCTGGCCTAAAACTGAGATCCTTTCAATCTATGCCTCCCGAATAGCTGGATTTAAGTTCTGATTCACCCATGCCTAACCAAAAGATGGAGAATTTTAGTGAGGGTTATAGATGACAAATCTCCAGAACACGTGGAAAATACGTACATCTGTACAGAATACCCCGCCTTAGCTAGAAACATAGAATAGTACAAATGGAGGAATTATCTCAGTTTGCCTCTACAAGGTAGGTTATTAAATTCATGTAGCCAAATAACAGAACCTAAAGAAAAGATAGCACACAGTCTGTGGACCACATATGAGGAAACTCAGCCCAGGAAGGAAAAACAACAGGCCTATTTCATCATAGAGTAGACATCTTGGTATTAATAAAATAATAGATTATAAATTTTAAAGAATAATCATTTTTTGCATTTAGAGTGCTGAGTAGAGAATTGATCCATTACACCAAAACAAGCAGTAAGGAATCAAGATCAAGACAGTAAGGGAGGGAGAAGCAAAACCATACAAGCTACAATGGCAGAACTTGAGGAAACTTCCTTCATTGATGTATCCATTGTATACACAAAAAATGAATTATACAAAATAAGATGCTTTGCTAAAGTTATGAGTTGTTGATTAACCAAATGTGTTCAGGGCATTTACTTTCATATATGAAAGTAAGGGCAATAATAAGAATAAAAAGGAACCTAAAATCCTTAAGGAGAATAAGAACATTAGCACACATTCATATGATAGATTCCTTCAAATCTTCACACTGCAATGAGCCTCCTGACATCATAGTCAAGTTTGATTTTAAAACAGCTCATAGACATATATGAACCCTAAAAATAGAAAGGTGGTATTTACCCCAAAAGAGATACCTATTTCATCATGAGCAAAAACTCACATGGATACTAAAAATTTTATTGTGGAGAATGCCACAAGGAACATTTCAGTCTTCTTTTGTACATAGTATCTTCTTTTATGGCCTTACAACATACAACTCTACAACCTGCTTATTTTCAATAAACCTCAATCCTGTTCTACTTTGCAGTCAATTCTAGTCAATTTTTATGTTTACATTTTAACTCCCTCGTTACTTAATTTATTTCACTCTTGTACACTAATGTTTTTATAATATTTGTAAAATTCGTTCATACCAAGAATACCATTAGGTAAATAAATGTTGTGCACAATTCTGCATGCTGTACCTACGGGAAGAAAACAGAGAAGGAATACATTTCAAAATTATTCAAAGAACTCACAATGCATGTAACTTTTAAGAAAAGACATTGCATATTTTTTTCAATACTCTTTGTAAGGCATATTTTACATCTTTGTTCCTCAGGCTATAGATCAAAGGATTCAAGATTGGAATAATGTGGGTATAAAATATAGAAGACACTTTATCAGTATCAGTGTAATGTCTGGACTTGGGCTGCACATAAATTAATATCAAACTTCCATAGAGGCCTGTAACCACTGCCAGGTGGGACCCACAAGTGGAGAAAGCCTTGAATCTGCCTTCTGTAGACTTCATCCTGAGAATGGCTATAAGGATGAGCAGGTAGGACACAAGGACAAGCAGAAGAGAGGAAATCAAGTCAAAGGTTGCTAAAATCAGAATTATCACTTCAATTTCATGAGTATCTGAGCACAGTAAATGTAACAAGGGGATACAGTCACAGAAGAAATGTTTGATGACATTGTAACCACAAAAGGATAAAGTGAAAATTTTTATAGTAACTAGAAGGGACACAAATATATTGTAGAGATAAGGAATTGCCACCAGCACCAAACATACCCTTTGTGACATGATAACTGTATAGAGTAATGGTTTACAGATAGCCACATAGCGGTCATAGGACATCGCAGACAGAATAAAAAGTTCACTGCCAATGAACAGAAGGAAGAAAGCTAGTTGTGTAGCACAAAAGTTGTAAGAGATCGTGTTTTGATTTACAACAAAATTTGCCAACATTTTGGGTCCCACAGCTGTAGAGTAACCAAGATCTGTGAGAGCCAGGTGTCTGAGAAAAAAGTATATTGGGGTTTGTAGCCTGCAGTCCACCATAGTGAGGATGATCATGCCCAAGTTGTCCACCACTGAGATCGCATAGATCATGAGGAACAGCACAAATAATGGAGCCTGCAGCTCAGGACGATCTGTGATGCCCATCAGAATGAATTCATTCACTGGTGTGAAATTGTGCTTCTCCGTCCTGGTTTATCAGAAAAACTATTCTGGATAAAGACATCAGCATAGCCAATAGCTTTCAAGTGTTGTCACCTGGAGGTGTTATTTATGCAAAATACTATAAATAGCATTCACCTATGTCTTCAATTTAGAATATGTTGAATACATACAGACTGATCCATGAATATACATAAATGCACATAGAAACAGAGTTAGATATGTATTTCTCTCTAAGGTGATTTTTTTCTCACACAAAATTATTGTTCAATTTTGTTGAAGCATATATTGCTTTTCCTAACTTGGAGTTAAACTGCTACTGGCATGTAATCTTAATAGGCTGTTAACATGGTAAATATCCTTTGATTTCTAGTGTCCAGCCCCAAACAATGTCCACAACAATAACCTTGTTTAAGGTTAAGAAATCTTATTAGGCCAGTAGGTAATATGTAGATGGATCGATACATAGATAGATAGATACATAGATAGGTGGATAATAGATAGATAGAAAGATAAATAGATGCATAATAGAGAGAGGTAAATAATTAATAAATGAAAGGCAGAAATATTTGTATAGATTCTGAAAACAAAAATAAGTGTTTAAAGATTGTTAAAAGTTTTGGTGTTAGACAAATATATTAGATAATTATTTTACTATTCTTTTAATTTTCTGTTTGTTTTTAACTGCAGTGATGATAATTATTATGTTCTATCACACAATAAATAGTCCAATTATACAATAATAGTTTCTAATAACAAGTCACCAAAATGCATACAAAAGCCTATGAAAACACAGACCTATAAAAATCATTATAATTATATATGTACAACTGAAAATGTTAAGAAACTTGATAAATATTGGACAAATGTATGTGTTAAAAACCCTACACCAGAACACACAAAAATTGTCTTTAGTTGAATAAACAAACCAGGAGACAATAAATAGATAAATGATGGATATATAGATATGACAGATAGATAGATAGTGTTGTTTGAAAAAATGAAGCATGATCAAATGATTCAGTGTTTCCATTGTATCTGGAAACAGTTCTCAAGGAACATGCAAAATCTCTGAACAGGACTTAACTTCTTTGTCAGGGCCAAAGTAATGTATAGATGTAAAACAGTCAACTACGACAAAATACATGCAAATTTTTCTACTGTGTAACTCATTCTTCTCCCACTTAATTTCATAATTAAAATTAGAGAATTATTGTGCTATTGTTTTTCAATAATCAGCTTCTATTATTTATGATTTTAATAACATTTTACTATAAATGACATTCATATTAACTTACTGAAAAATCTTATTCTTGCCATGTGGGCATTTCCATGATAACTGAAATATACTTACCTGTATGTAATGCACTTGATGCACTTTATTGTGACAGAGGAACCTGGACTATGAAGAAATCTGAACAAATTAGGGGAGAAAAAAGGTCATTGGTCTTGGTTTTATTCAATGAAGACCCATAAAATTTTCTTTGGATAAAGTGGTACTATATTTTCAAGAAAAGAAAGTTGGAAATTGTTATAATAAATTATATAATATGATGCATTATATAAAACTTTTATTATGGTACACAACACCATAGAGACAAAGAAAATTCAGTGAAGGTAATAAATATGTGGATACTTGAATATATTTTTAAATTCTCTGGGCTTCTTCCAAATATGACACACCACATTAAGAAGTCAAGTATATAAGCAAATAAAAGATATCTTAATATTTCTAATAGCCCAAAAATTAAAAAGTATATCACAGAAACAGCTGAATGATAACTTAAGGAATATTACTGATATGAAAAGTTGTGAACATCAGTTGTTATAAAACATTTTTTAAAAAATAGAAATGGTATATTTTATTACGGAAATTGTAGGGAGAACACCTGTGCCTGAACTACAAGAAAATATATGAAACCATACAATTTTACAATATTATATGTAAAACTGATTTAATTTTAATTACACTTACCTCACTTAAAGTATTATTTGATTGGTATTGCAACCTGATATCCTGTCTTATCCTATTCAAACATCTTTCCTGTATGAAATACAGCAAAGCCCATCATGTTAGAATGTTTGATGAATATCTTCAATAGATGCAATCAGAAACACTTTAAATCCAGTTTCTGTTTAAATCATGAAATACCTCAAAATAATCTGCACATGTAATGTGAGGACCAATATTCTTTAAGGCAAAGAAAGTAAAGGAGTTTCCTCTCAACAGTTTGGTAGTTTAGTGGAAAGAAACAAATTGCTTTCTCAGATTTAATATCATTGTTCAGAGCTCACTTATTTTTAAAGCTATACTGTATAAAAAAATTAGTCAAATCAAATTGAGAAATGAAAATGTCATATCATCATAAAAGTGGATACTTAAAATAGCCCCTAACAGTGAAAGAAACTTTCCCTGTGAATGTGGAAGCTTTCATGATCTCCTTAGTAGGAGATCAGGAATGAGTATCAATGGTGCATTTATTTATATAACTTATGGGAGGTTCACACACTAGATCCTCAAGTACTTAAATCTTGTTTCATTTTCTGCCTCTTAAAAAAAAATCCCATTCCTTTTATGTTTCATTTCCCTTCATTTTTGCCATCTGTTAGATTAAAAAAAAAAAGAAGATGCTTTTCAACAATTGACGTCTCTGAGAGAGAGGTTGTTAAACAAGTATTCAAAAACTTATATGAAAAATAAAGGAGAGAGGTCCTACAGCTGCTCAGGAATCATGGCACTACATGAAACCTTTTCCCTTTGTTACCTGTGATTAACCCTCTCTCTTGATTATTCCATAAATTTCTTAACATGTGGGTTTCAGGAGAATTTATGGATTTTTTTTAACTTTAGAAACACTCCCTGGGGAGTTGCCAAGCAATTTGTTGATTAACCCAACAGCATTACAATATTTAATGAAATGCCTGGAGGTTGTGCACTAATTCTCTGGGAGAATTTGAATTTGAATTCATTTACTTGTCAGAACCAATAAACCCACTCTATAGGTGCACTTTAGAAGGGTTGGTACTGGAAGCTCTGAAGCTTATATTCCCATTTTCATTGCCGAAGAATTCTACTAAACACATGGAAACAACTTAAATATCCATTCGTGGATGAATGGGTGAAATATTATTCAGACTTAAGAAATGATATCCTGCATTATGCTACCACATGCTGAAGGGCATGAGACTGAACAAAATGCACCAGTCACAGATGTACAAATACTGCATTATGCCACTTTCATGAGGTATATACGAGAATAAGATGTGAAGTGGTGACTGCCAAAGAGGTTGTTATGGGAGAAGTAAGAAGTTGTCAATGAATGCACACAATGTCTCAATTATGCAAAATAATTCAGTTCCAGAGGTCTATTGTGAGACGCTGTGCTTACTGTCAACAGGACTATATCACACATTTGAAATATTAACAGTGGAGTTTTAATGTTAAGCATCATAAGATAAATTAAAAAAAAAACTGGAGTGAAGTACCAATGCATGTTACAATAGGTAGGAATCTTGAACACATTCTATCAATCCAATGCATCCAGGCCACAAAGGTCATCATTACTATGCATCTTTTATTTGAAGTTTCCAGTGTAGAAAAATCCATACAGATGAAAAATTAATCATCAGGAGTTGAAGGACATGAGGAATAGAGACAGATTATTAAATGAGTAATTTGTGGTGATGGAAAAGGCTTAGAACTTTTTTCCAAAATCTTAAATTATTTTTAAAAGTTTACAAAAACCTAGAGCAACTAAATAACTAAGTATTTGGAAGGCCATCAACAGATGTAAGAGGTGCTCAAACTGCTTTTGCTAAAAACCACTGACTCCTTATTTGGGCCCATGAATTAACCAAAAACAGAAGAAAAGCTTAGCATCTCTGCATCTCCATTTGTACCTTTTGTCCTTTGCTCTGAGTCATTCACTCCTGCAGATATTATCTTTATGACAAGAGACCAAAACTATCCCAAAGGAATGAGCAGCGTCTTGTATGACAGACCACCCTTCAAATGAGGACAATTAACCATCATGATAAGGATGCAATCTGAAGCAGGGGAAGTCATCTCTTGGGAACCAAATAGCTCCCCTCAAGTGATGAAAGCGATAACAACTTCTCTGGAACCCACAGAACCAGAACTGAAATAATGTCCAACCAGGCCACACCTATGACTGGGACTGTTTGACTATGTATACCTTTTGTCCCCTGCCTTAATCCCTTGTCTATTTAAATCTAAAGCTCCTGGTTTTACCTCGAAGATGGCTAAAGATAGGCACAGTGGTTACTTTGTTAGACCACATATTTCCCAAGATTAAACATTTAAATGCCCCAAACTGTGTACTATACAAAGCTAAGACATTACTTATAACTTTAAAATATTATTAATATGGATATGTTAGTATTCACAGAATGTATAAGGCTTCAAAAATATATCCTTAGCTTAATTCTTCTATGGCTATGGCATTAGGGAAAAGGGTAAGAATCTTAGGTCATGTAATAAAGCTTTCTCTGCCCTTTACCATGTCTCTTTATTTGGCATAAAAGGCAAGTGGTGAGACCTGACATGTGGAAGCCCAAGAGTTTGGACCTTGGGCCCAAGACACAGGTTTCAGAGAGGTATAAGACATAATCCCTCCTGTTTCAATTTCTGCCTTGATTGATGAAAGTAAATACATCTGATTGGATGTACAGCATTGTAAATCTAACAATTGCCAATAAAAATAAAATTAACCTTACAAAATAGTCAGCTTTATGTCATGTGAATTTGACTTCAATATTTAATTATAAATGATCTCAGATACAATTTTGTGTGTTTATCAGCAGTGTTATTTTTAGTATATATATATATATATACATACTGTGGTAATGGGGCTTGAACTTTGAGCCTCCTGCTTGCTGGCAAGCACACTATCACTTGAGCCATGCCCCAAGTTATTTCTGCTTTTAGTGTTTTACAGATAGTGTTTATCTTTTTTCAGGTTTGCCTCAGACTTCCATCCTTCTACCTTCATCTCCTGAAGAAGGTGGTGGTGCCACCACCACACATAGAATTTTTTTTTTTTTTTGGTGTTACTGGGTTTGATCTCAAAGCTTTGTTCTTGCTAGCCAGATACCCTTCAGCTTGAACTACAAACCCACCAATTATTTTTGAGACACAGTCATGATGACTTTTTGCCCTGGCTGACATTGAACCTTGATCATCCCTGTCTCTGCCCCTTGAGTAGCTTGGACTACAGGTGTGCTGGCCCAGCCTAATTATATATTTTGCCTGTATCATTTGTATGAATTCTTAACAAATATCTTGTGTTTGCTCTATGAAATGAGAAAATTTTGTTTTAATTACTTCATGATAGCTTTCAGTTTACAGAGGTTCAAATTTGGTAGTCAGAATATTTTGTATTTGCCAAGTACCAAAATTTAAGAAAATATACAATGAATGGGAATCCTACTAATCTTAAATATTCTCTTAAATGTCAGAACTACTACTCTGTATTTTCTTAAAATATTCTTTTATTTACTAACTAAATAAGAGTTCAAATGACTTTATATTCAAATTAGTCTTTATTTATCAAGATTTTATACTTCTTCTCAATCATGATCCTGTTCTCCAAGTTTTTTCTTTCCTGGAGTTGAACAATGTCTTCCACTTATCATTTGTATGCAAGTTGTTGTTGCTTAATTATAAATTTATGTATATAACAAAAATTTGTTTTCAGATATTTTTAAGAAAACTTGTATGCTGTGCCACTGAATGTCTCACTTTACAGATTTCTTTTTTTTCTATTGATTGAGTTTTTTCTATTGATTGAATCATACTAATTCGTTTAATTGGGTGTTATTCTCTTAATTTGAGGAATATATAAAATTATTAGAAATTTCTACTTATTTTACAAAATATGAAATTATATTTATATTACCATAAAATAGTGGAAATGTTTTCATTATGGCAACTCCTCTGCATTAATTTTAAGTCACCATGCTTTAGATTTGGGCCAATTATTTGAGCATTTAAGAGTGTTGATATCACTTTACATTTTAATTTTGTAATAATTATAAAAGTACATTACATATATTATACATAATGAGGATTCTGTCTTTGTACATTTTTTATGTGTATGCTTTGCCTTTTTTTGTATTGATGATGAGTCAATCATGCATCAATTCAACAGACGCATATCTGTATCTATTTTGTCAAATCTGGCATGTACTAGTACCATATTTGTGATTGATTTCCATGACACAGACTTGAGATTTAAAATACTAAATTCATAATTATATATAATTCTCAGGTGTGCATAAGGAATACTTTCATGCTAAACAATACATGTATACGTATGTATATATACAAACATACATGCATAAGTCTTTCAAGGTTGTCATTCTAAATAAAAAATCAACTATATAAATTCTTTACCAATGTCTATCTCAAGTAAAAATATGCTTTTATCATGCAATCATGCCAATGAATTATTTTTATTCATGTTTGTTTGGCTACAGAGATCATTTTATTACCTCATGCTATAACTTTCCATGGTATAAATTGAATGCCAGAATTTTAAATATTTCAAATAAGGAAAATCAAGGAAAATTTTAGAGAGGGCTATGGACGACAAATGTCCAGAAGCATGTACATGAATATATAACATACCACTCTTGCTATAAATATAGCAAAGTTCAAATTAGTGGATTATCTCTAGTTACTTCTTCCAACATGGATTTTCAGATTCATGCAGTCAATCATGGATCCTAACAAAAATATCTATGAGCAAAATATGAGGAAATTCAGCACAAGAAAGAAGAACAACAGGCCAATTTCATAACAGAGTAGACTAGACATCTTATGTCATAGTAAAAATAACAAATATACCATAATTTAAAATAAAAATTATTCTTTGCATTTTAAGTGGTTTGGTGAGTAATCTAGCATACAAAAATCAAGATCAAATTAGTAACAGAAAAATTTTTTTTCTTTATTCAATTATTCATATGTGTATACATTGTTAAGGCCATTTCTCCCTCCTGCTCCCCCAACTCCCCCTCCTCCCTCTCACCCCACCCTGTGAACCTGTTCTGTCCTTTTCTCCAATTTTGTTGAAGAGAAGACATAAGCAATAATAAGAAAGACATAGCATTTTTGCTAGTTGAGATAAGGGTAACTATACAGACAGATTCCTAGCACTGCTTCCATGTACAAGTGTATTATAATCTGAATTGATTCATCTCTACCTGACCTCCTCACTACTTCCTGGCACCTTCCCATATTGACCTCTGTCATTTTAAGGTTACTCTATTAGTTCCTCTGCCGTGGGGACATCAAACAGTTTCAAGTTTTGTGTTTCCTACCTATCCCCATTCCTCCTGCATGCACTCTTGTCTTAGCACGTGACCCAAGTCCGATAGCATTTCTGCATTTGCCCTAGATCTAAAGTCTGCATATGAGGGAGAACATATAGTTTTTGGTCTTCTGAGCCTGGCTAGCATAGCTCAAGATGATGTTCTCCAGTTCCACCATTTATTTGCGAATGATAAGATTTAGTTCTTCTTCATGACTGAGTAAAACTCCATTGTGTATGAATACCACATTTTCTTAATCCATTCAGCAGTAGTGGGGCATCTTGGCTGTTTCCATAACTTGGTTATTGTAAATAGAGCTGCAATAAACAATGATGTGCAGGTTCCTCCGGAGTAACCTGAGCTGCATTCCTTTGGGTATATCCCTAGGAGTGGGATTGCTGGATCATATGGCAGATCTGTTTAGTTTTTTTATGAAGCCTCCATACTGTTTTCCAGAGTGGTTACACTAGCTTGCATTCCCACTAGCAGTGTATAAGGGTTCTTTTTTCCCCACATCCTCATCAACACCTGTTGTTGTTGATGTTTTTGATGATAGCTATTCTAAAAATTTTTAAATTAAAATTAAAAAATTTTAAAAAGAAAAACCAAGTTTCTTTACAGAATTTGTGAAAATTTTCATTGAAGTTGTCAGAATTATAGATACACAAATTAGACAAAAGTGGGTGCTGCACAGAAGCCATGGGTTGATGAATACCCAAAAATGCTGAGTTAATAAGGTTTTATATAAAAAAGGACAAGCTCTGGTGAGAAAAAGATGGAATTTGACATCCTTAAGAGGAACGAGAGTATGGGAGCCCATTCACATAACAGATTCCTTCAATCGTCATGCTGCAATGAGCCTCCTGATACTACAGTTAAGTTTGATTTTAACACAACCCATAGAAATGTACAAAATGTATAAAAATATACGGGAAGACTGTCCTTATACAAAGAGAGCTACATACAGAAACAATACACCGATACAAGAAATTTTATTGAAATACCAAAGAATACCACCAAAAAAAGTCATTTTAAATACTCCTATATACATACTGTTCTTTCTCGCTACACTATGACATACAGCTCTGCAAACTGCTCTTATTGCTTATATACCTCAAACACTTTCTACTTAGCAATAGACTACACTGGAACATTAGGTTTACAATTTAGTCTCCCCTTCAAGGAAAGCAAATATCTTACTATTTTATTCTATAACATTTGGAATTTTGATTTGTTATATAGGCCTGCAGTTAAATATATACTGAACCCATTTATGCTTGTTACATTCTGGAAGAAAAGAGAGGAGGTTCACATTCCAATCTGATTCAAAGAACTCATATTGTGTAGAATTTTTAAGAGAAGACATGGGACATTTCCCCATGTCCTTTGTTCCTCAGGCTGGATATCAAAGGATTCAACATTCGAATAATAAGTGTATAAAAGATGAATAATATTTTACCAGTATCAGTGGAGTGACTGGACTTGGGAGCATTTACATAAATATCAAATTCCCATTGAAGTCTATGACCACTGTCAGGTGGAACCCACAGGTGGAGAATGGTTTATGCCTTCTCTTCTCAGAGTTCATCCTAAGAATGGCTGTAAGAATTAGCAGATAGGATAAAGGATGAGCAGAAGAGTAGAAATTAAATGAAAAGATGCAACAATGATAATTATCAATACAATTTTATTTGCATTTGAACAAAGCAAAGATGACAAAGGAATAAATTCACAGAAGAAATGGTGGATTACATTGTAGTCACAGAAAGTTGAAGTGGAAATCCTTAGTGTAACTAAAAGAGATAGGAATATATTGTACTGATAGGGATTTGCCACCAGTACCCAATACACCCACTGTGACCTGATGATTGCATACAGCAGTGGGTTACAGATGGCAACATAGTGGTCATCGGACATTGCAGACAGAATAAAAAGCTCAGTACCAATAAACACAGTAAAGAAAATAAGCTGTGTAGGAAAACCATAATATGAGATTTTGTTTTGATTTACAACACAATTCACCAACATTTTGGGTCCCACAACTGTAGAATAACCAAGATCAGTGAAAGCCAAGTGTCTGAGAAAAAAGTACATTGGGGTCTGCAGCCTGGAGCCACCTTGGTGAGGATGATCATCCCCAAGTTACCCACTGTTGCACTTATGTAGATGATGAGGAACAGCCCAAATAATGGAGGCTGAAGCTCTGGACAATCTGTAATGCCCACCAGAAGGAATTCAGTCAACATTGTTATGTTGTGTTTCTCCATTCAGGTTGTCAGAATACCTATTCTGTGCAGAGACATCAGCATGGTCAATTGCTTTCAAATATTATCACCTGGAGGATATTTATTTGTCAGATTTCTTATGAATAAGATGTACCCACTTTTCAATTTATGATATTTGCAAATGAGCACATATTTACATACAAGAATGTATGTAGAAATATAAACAGAAGTAGATCTATATTATATATCTAATTATATTTGATTTTACTCAGACAAAATATTATTCACTATTAGAGATACGTTTATTGTCCCAACTCAGAAAATAATTGCTATTGGCATCTAATGGTTTCAGACCTGTTAAGCTTATTGTATCCTACTATAGCTAATAATCAACCTCAAGCAATATCCACATAAGTGAACTTGTAACAATTTAATAAACCTTACTAGATAGTTAGTTAGATATTCAGACAGACAGATTGATAAGTAGATAATAGATAGATAGATGTTGATAGCTAGACAGATGATAGATAGATAGATAGATAGATAATAGAGAGCATATTTAACCCACTTGTGCTTACTGCACACTCTGAAGGAAACAGAGCAGATTGCCATCCTGAACTAATTCCAAGTACTCATATTGCATTTAACTTTCAGAAAAGATATTGCACACATTCCATAGGTGATAGATACAGATAAAGTTGTATAACATTGTTAAATTTTTTGGTGTTACTGCTTAGAAAAGGGGAAGAAGAAACTGGGGGAAATGAAATATAATGAAAAGGGAAACATGTACAAAGTACACTGTGCTTGTATTTCATTGACCCAATGATCTCCCTGTCATAAAATTCCATCATTACAAACAAAACAAATATGTTCCTTAAAGGTTATTTGGAAGGATGAAGAATGACTGATGATCAAATAATTTGATGTGTCCAATGGCATCTAGACATTGTTCTCAAAGATGATGTTCTCATGTATTTTAGATATACACATGTATATATTATATGTACTGTTCTATATGCATGAAATAATATATATATAATTATTTTTGTTGATACTGGAATAGAATCTAAGGTATTGTACATGCTATGCAAACACTCTACTACTGTGCTACATCTCAGCCCTTCCTTTTTTGAGACAAGGTCTAGCTGACTGGCTCAGGTGGGTCTTGAATTTTCTACATAACGAGGTTGGTGGGACTTGGCAATCTTCTTGCCTTTGCCCACAAGTTCTGATATTTTTGCTTTTTAAGTGGTGACTATAATCTATTTGGAAGATCTTTCCTTCACATATGTATAGGTATATCTTTTGTGAGGGACTAAATTTCTGTTTCAGGTCTAAAATCATGAGTATATGAAGAATAATCAATTAGAACATTACACCTGAAAATTCTTTCAATCTCAACCTCACTCATCTCCCTATTCCTTAACTACAATTAGACAATCAATGTGTTATTGTACTGTATTATATATCTTCTATTTTATTTATATTTTTATTAACATCTTAAAGTAAGTTGTGATTATATTAATTTATTGGAAATTATTATTATTGCCCTGTGGGCTTTTTTATTACAACTGAAATATGCCTACCCATATGTAACACATCCTGTATACCTTATTCTGATGGATGAATCTGGGACTGCAAGAAAATCTGAGCAAATTAGGAGAAAGAGAGTTCCTTGGACTTGGTTTTGTACAATGAAGACTCATATCTTTGGATACAGATAATCAAAATAAATTTTGACAGAATAATAATAACTTTATAAAATTAGACATTGTATAAAATTTCATATGAACACGACACTGTAGAAGCAAACCAAAATATGTTAACAATCACATGTACAAGATTTCTTGAATATATTTTGCATTCTGTTCAATATGTCACATGAATATCTTCCAAATATGAAAGACTAAAAAAAAAACTGGTTATTTCTAATAGCCCAGAGATTAGCAAATGTA